ATGAGGAAACCCCTGCCTATTAGGAGCCTTGCTCCGCAGGCTGTCCACAGCTACAAATCTTTATAGAGAGTGCTGGGGAAAAGAGGTTCACCCAGCTTTCTTCCCCTTCCTTATTTCTCCACCAGCTCCTGCTGTGGAGCAACCCCTCCTCCTCTTACTCCCACCACTTTGCCCTTATAAATAATCCCGCTGCATTGTAAGCAGGTGCTCTGCAGAGAATGGGTGTGTCTTGCACACACACATTCCAAGCTGCCCACATACGTCTTACTGCCTGACAAACACTTCTAGACAGCCTACTTTTACCCAAAGACAAATTCTGGTTGTCACGGTTTTCATTTCCGCCCGTTCATGTAGTCAGATGGCCCTATTCTACCTATTCTAGCTTCCTCTCCTGCTGGAATTCACCATCACCTGCTCCTGTCCCCCGAGTTTTTTCCCAAGCCTTCCCTAGATACCACAGAGTCTCTGACAGTCACATCATTCTTGGGACAACATCTTTTTATCCTCTTTTTATCTTTGTTAGGGAGGCAGAAAACCCCAATTCCATACAGTGAGTATGTCTCTCTCAGTACGTTGGGGCCCACGGAGTAATAATTGGTTATAATTTGCAGGAGCTTTGCAATTTGATTTCCTTTTAACTCACTGTTCCTCCTAGGACTTCTTCCAGCACAGGAGAGGCCGGGCATTTCTCACCGGGCATTTGTTTTTACCCAGCACTAATCACTACCACTTGTTTCTCTAGAAATTTGAGCTGATTTCAATTTCTCAGACACCCCAGGTGCACATCTCAGATATTTTAGCACACTCACTTTTAATCAAAGTGTCTTTTGTATACAGGTTTGATTCTCTCCATTAAGCAGTAAGGGTTTTAGCCTCACTCTTAAAGCTTAATTCTGTTGTGTCTTCACAGTTTATTGTCAAAATCAAAGCCATATGAATTCAAAATGAGTTGGGGTCTTGTTTGGATTTTGATGGTTCCTTTTTAATGGTTCTACTCAACATTTTCTGCCCTTACAGGTGTAAGTGGTCTAGAAAATTGAACCCTCTCAGGTAAAAGGAATTACTGTGCTCCAAGAGCCTGTGGTCAGGACTGGAAAGTGTTGTTTGTTTGTTTTTATGTTTGTTTGTTTTGCTGGTACATGTCAACTTCAGTCTTAATAGAAATTCCTTTAAGCATAAACTCCCAAAACCATTGCAATGGTGTCATTAACAATTGAGAAAGCTTAATGGTGATTTTTGGTATCCTGACAGAGAATAATGGGTTGTAGCAGCTCTACAGTGTGTTGGGAGGTGTCTGTGGTTAGTTTGCTGATTCACTCTTAATCAGTCAGTTTACTTATAGAGTAATCCTTCTAACTGGCTGGTCTTTGTCAATAACTCTTATTACATCACCTCAAAAAGCCAGTGAGAACCAAATGCATACCATTTATTTCCCTCTAATGAATCATTCGTGAAAAAGTAAATTTATATGTTTATTCCAGATCTCCAAATAAGTGTTTCTCAACTTTTTTTTTTTCAACCTATGCCTTCTTCCTGATAAACGCAAAAGTCTTGTGACTGTTCCCTAAAACTTCTGATACAACTTCTGGAAGGAGGCTGCCCCTAACATTTGGAGAACTGGTACCTTCTGTATATCCCCAGGAACCAAGAGAATACTATCAAACTCTTCTTGGGGTCACAGTCAAAAAATTTGAAAAACGTAACACCGAGGGTTTCTACGGAAAACCTAGTGGTTCTGGAAAATGTAATTGTTTATAATAAAAGTATGCCATGAAGGTTTGTGTGTCATTTTGCATTTTCCCTCTTAGTATGCCTCTCACTGTAAGTTGGGGACTTGCCTTCCCACCTAACCATAGAGCACAGCTATTGCCATGAGGCATGTGGCAGTGTCTGGGGACTACAGGCCCAGCCTCTTCAAGAACCTCCTTGGCCCAAAGCCTCAGCAAAAACTTAAACATACATAGACACTCTCCTCTCCAGCCCCAGCCCCACCCTGGCTGGATACCCTCATTAGGTCACATGAACTTTTAAAAGAATATGAAAAAGAACATGAGCATTCTAAGTGCTTAAGACTATATGCTCCAAACACGCTCATTATCAGATAGAGAACTGAAGCCCAAAGCAGTGTGAGGCATTTTCTGGGTCACAGAACAGCAAATCCAAAACTGTAACAAGTCACCAGGTTGCCAACCCTAATATTTCTTTTGTTGTGTAATTAATGTGCAATGTAGGAAATTGGAAAATACTGGTTAACAAAAATATGAAAAATACATATATGCCTTCTTTCTTACAAAAATTAGGTCATAACATGAGCATTTTTGTAACTTTTTTATTAATATATTCACATTTTTAATACCTTTCCACATCAATAAATATACTTTTACCTTAATGCTTTTCATGTTTACTCTACCATGGTACCTTAATTTAACCATTCCCCTGTTGTCCAATATTTGTTTCCAGTTGAGAGGGAAAAAAGGATTTTTTAATCACAGTTTTTAATTAATTTACTTTTTTACTTTGGGAATAAAAGTCTTCCTTTTAATTACAATTTATTATTAAATATGCACTGGGGCATGAATACCTTAAGTGATTTCCTGAATTTGCTCAGTTAATCTTTCCTCAATAAATCTCCTTTGCCACTATCCTTTAAAACAGTATTGAGTATTTAAAGTAAATGATCCTTAGTCATACACTGCGATTTTACAAACAAATTTGCAAATGGGGCAGGAGGGAGAGATTCTTTCTTATCAGTCAGTTTATAAATTCAGGAATATCTGGTCTTTTGCTCTGTATGGAAAAATAAAAGAAAAATAATTCAGGAATTTGGGTTTCCTTGGTAACAAGATGGCAGGCCAAGCGCTGGGGCAAGGTAGGAATTTGCATCATTGTGGTGCATACGAGCAGTGTTTCTGAAAAGAAGATATGGCTGTCATCAGATAGTATGTGTATTAAGGTTTTATTTTAAAAAGCAAAAAGAATCCTCCACAATTAATTAATTGGAAAATGTTTATTAAGCATCTATTCTGTTCCAGACACATTGCTAGGCAGTGGAGTTAGGGACTGAGCAAGATAAAACGTCTAATAGAGGAAACTGACATTGATCAGATAGTTATCCAATTGAATATATAATGATGAAGACAAGTGCCCCGGAGCAGGAGCATGGTTCTGCGAGCACCCGGCCCTGGACTGGAGCCAGCAGTGACCGCCCTGAGGAAGTGATACTTGAGCTGAGCTCTGATAGACCAATAAGCACTAATCAAGTGGGGAGGAATGTTGAAAGGGCCCAAAAATAGAGGGAGCATGCAAGTAAAACATGGAAGAAGGCCAGTGTGGTTGGAACACAGAATAAAGGAGGGAGCCAGACCTTGCTGGGCCTCTTAGGCCATGGAAAGAGACTGATTTGCGTGACTTTATCCTGAAAGACTTTATCCTTAAAACATTGAAAAGTTTTAAATAGAGGATGACATGACACCTGAATGTCCCAGAGACACCTTTAATTCAACGTGTATAAAAAGCCAATGTAATTATCCCTCTTTTCTTATTTCCCAATTTCTGTAACTGGCACTACCATTCTTCTAAATAGTTAATTTAAAACTTCCCTCTCTCCCTCTATCCTTCATCTAATCAGTTATCAATTAATTACTAAATTTCCCTAATTCTATTTCCATGGTAACATACACTCAGTATCATTCCTGCTATTATTTCAGTTCAAACCCTCGACCTCTTGCCTGGACTATTACAGTAGCCTTTGAATTGGCCCTACCTCTCCTCCTACCCACTGTCACCTTTTCCCCAAAACAAACTGAGGATAACTTCCTACCCATCCTTTAAGGTCCACTTTGACCCCCAATAGTGTGGTCTCACCTTCCTTTAGGTACCCCCAACACTGTATGACTTCTTTGAATTCTGATAGTAAGTAGCGTGAGTGGTGAGACTCTGTTCTCCTGTCTTCTATTTCCTGTAATGGGTAGTTGGTGCCTCGCACATACTCTCCTCATTCCATAAGCCTTGGTTAGAATGGATGGAGAGCAAGGCCAAAATGGACTCTCTGCTCCAGTTAGAAAAAGCATTCCCCAGCTGACATGCGTGTGCCATGTCATGCCTTCATGTCCCAGTGCTGTACTCTGGTACTGCAAAGAAGGGCAGGGATAACGTTACTTTTTAACCTGTGAAGGATAAGGAACTTTCTTGAACAATTCAGAAAATCAAAGCAGAAAACGAATTTGGGAGTGACATTAGTGAGCCCTTAGAAGTGTGAGGAGTACCTTAGAGTCTGGAATAGGCCAGATGCCTGTGATAGATAAACGAATCCGCAAAGAGGCAGAGCTACTAATTCGAGGGGCAAAGGAGTATTTGTGTGACCTTGACCACATGCATAGGGGTAGCAGAGTTTTCTTGCTGCCTACTTCAGGAATCCTTTAAAAATAGGAGTTTGTTCACTCTGACTTAAAAAGTAGGCATTTGATGAGGATTATCACTGGAGGAATTGTGCACCGCACTTAGAGGAGAAGCTTTCCTGCAGAAGGCCTGAAATGTGTTGCCAGTGTGGTTTAAGCCTTGAGTCTTCTGGTGGGGTAGAGGAAAACTTTGGGCTCTGAAGTCTCCAATTGTTTCAAAGTAGCAGAGGTGTGGGACCCCTGGACCAAACTGGCTTTAGCTCAGGAAGGAAGACAGAGATACCATTTCATACATGTAGAGCGCTTTCCAGGTTACTGAGCACCATTAAGCCCATTTCTTATGTTATCCTCATGACAGCGCTGTGAAGTGGGCTGGGCAAATAGCCCTCATTCCATAGACGGGGAAAGCAAAGTCACAGGGCCAGTCGGAAGTAGAACCAGGGTCTTCTGACTTCTTAACACGTGCTCTGTCCAACGAACCATGCTACTGAGTTCTAGAAGAGGAGCGACTATTTAATAGCTCCTTCCACTTAAGTTGAAACTGATTAGCCTGACACACTCAGCCACTGGCTGAATCTGTGCCCCTCTGCTTTTTGTCCGTAGAGCCATGGGGGTGTTGATGTCCAAGCGGCAGACAGTGGAGCAGGTGCAGAAGGTGAGCCTGGCTGTGTCCGCCTTCAAGGATGGGCTGCGGGACAGGCCTTCCCTCCGGCGCACGGGGGAGCTACCAGGGTCCCGCCGTGGCACAGTAGAAGGCTCCGTCCAGGAGGTGCAGGAGGAGAAAGAAGCAGAGGCAGGCACCCCGGTGGTCCAGGAAGAGAGCAGGGTCCACCGTGCAGCCTGGGAGCGGCTCCGAGATGGGCGTGGAGTAGAGCCCGAGGAGTTCGACAGGACCAGTCGTTTCACACCACCTGCCTTCATCCGCCCTACGCGGAAGCTGGATGATGACAAGCCTCCAGAAATCTCCCTGGAGCCCAGAGAGCCTGTGAGTGTCCAGTTAGGGCAGGATCCACAAGTCTTAGCCCATCCGAGGATCAGGGAGCAGGACAGGGGAGGCCTGGGTATAGTTAAGGTGAGATTCAAATCTGGAGCTGAGTCCAGAACAATCTTGGAATTTCTTCCACAAGAATAAAAATATTTGTTACATCCCAGACTCATCTCAGTGAAACGCTTGGGGCAATAGGTGATAAGGAATGGCACCATGGCAGGTCTTCTGCCAAGCCTCCCGCCCATGGGTTCTCAACCACAGAGATTGCTACCCCCTGTAGGAGGCATTTGGGAGGGGAGAGTTGGGGGGGTCACAATGAGAGGGGGTTGCTACTGGTATTTGGTGCCAAGAAAACCGGGGATGATAAATTTCCTGCAATGCCTGGGACAATGTCTCAGAAAGATAGATTGTTTTTTCCAAAAATGCCAGTACCATCCCTGTTCATAAACATGGTCACAAAAGCCTGAGCAGCTGGAAGAGCCTCCTGGTTCTTGTCCTCCAGAAAGAAAGCTCTATCTATTGCCTTAACAGTGGCTTCAGTTGGGCCTGTTCCTTTAGACTGCTCTGGGAACTCTCAGCCCCATGCAGGTAGCTCTGTGCTTAGTGGCCATAGGCTCTTGCCGCTTGTGCTTACACATCCCTGTTCACTCCTGCCTTCTTTCCTCAGGTTGTCAACGATGAGATGTGTGATGTTTGTGAGGTCTGGACGGCTGAGAGCCTCTTCCCGTGCAGAGTCTGCACCAGGGTTTTCCATGATGGCTGCCTGCGCCGCATGGGCTACATCCAAGGAGAAGGTGCAGCGGAGGTGACCGAGATGGCCCACACGGAAACAGGCTGGAGCTGCCACTACTGTGTGAGCCTGGACGGCAGGGACAGCAGAGGACTTGGCACTTTTCCCGGAGGCCCAGTCTTAGAATATTTGCTTCTAGGCAGTGACCTAAAGGGTTTTCTAATAGTACATATGGGGGTCCTAGAGCTAGGATGGGGTTTCTCAACCTCAGAACTATCGACATTTGAGGGTAGATAGTTCTTCGTGTTGGGGGCTGGGCACACTGTAGGACGTTGAGCAGCATCCCTGGCCTCTGCTCCACTAGTAGCACAACACCCCCAGTTGTGACAACGAAAATTGTCTCCGGACATTACCAAATGTGTCCTGGAGGGAGCACAATCACCCCCAGCTGAGGACCACTGAGCTAGAGGTTTGCCTGGGTAGAATGAGTCCTAATTACTCAAAAGCCATTCTGCTTGGAGCGTGCTTTCATAGTCTGTAGTCGTCATTAATTGTATCTATCTGAAAATGAACCTGAGTTCCTAACCAGCTTGCTTCCAATAGGGATAGATGCTATCACAAGCAAACCTCTTCGTTCTGAGATCCTCACTTGGCCTGTCACCTGACTCTTAGAAACATTCGTCCTTCATCTCTGAAGTGGTCAATATGTGAATTAAATAACCGAGCTTTATTGATTCAGAACTTTGCAAATTATATATAAATGCCTTCCAACTTCTAATGAAGGACAGAGTCTAAGGTTTCCATTGAAAGCCAGACTCATATCCATTTCTCACCACACCTGAATAGAGTGCAAGCCTTGCCCTGTTGATCTGTCTTGCAGATGTCTTCACTATTTACTGATCTCAGAGTGAGGAGAATCTGCTGATCCCCCTCTTATTCCTACTGCCTAGAAGAAAGCAGAGATGTGCCGCTTTCTAATAAATAACTCTTTCTCTGCGGCTGTGCATAAAGCATAGTATAGGACATTATTTCCAGCCACTTAAACACCTTTTCCTGGATTATACCCCAGCAGACCCTGCTGTACAGACAACCTTCTCTAGTACCAGTCACCGCACCTCCAATGTGCGCCTTTCCCTCAGTGACCCTGCTGTGCCATGTGCTGCTGCTGCGGGACTGGGTTGAAAGTGTCTCCTTCCCAACCCCCAGGAGCACAATGCTCCCTCCCCAGCCTTCTGCCACAGTCCTGCCATCATTGCCACCACGCTCCACTGGGCTTGCACAAAGGCTTCTTCCAAGCTCCTGCCCTTTCTTTCCTTCCCTTCACAGTCAGGCTTCTTAAAAGAACATCATCTCCTTGTGGCTCCTCAACCACCTGTAATCTGACTTTCGCACCCATCATTCTGCTGTGCTTACACATCCCTGTTCACTCCTGCCTTCTTTCCTCAGGTTGTCAACGATGAGATGTGTGATGTCTGTGAGGTCTGGACGGCTGAGAGCCTCTTCCCGTGCAGAGTCTGCCCCAGGGTTTTCCATGATGGCTGGTGGCTTTCTTCCTAAAGTCACCAATGACCTGCTGATTGTCAAGTTCAGTGACCTTTTCTCAGGCTTCTTCTCACTTAACCTCTCTGAAGTATTTAGCACTTCTTTATTCTCCTGTCTTTTTTTAGAGTTTGTGTATTCTTATCAGAATTATTACACAAGCTATGGAAACTAGATAAAATGGAAAATCAACAAAATCCCACTTCATTTGTATAACCACTGTTAACATTACCTCCGACATCAGGCAACTCTCCTTTCTTGGTATTCAGCACCTTCTCTACTGATTCTCCTCCAACCTTCTTCGCTGACCGTTCTTTCTCAATGCCCTTCGTTCCTTGTCTCAGCCCAAAATGCTGGTGTTTCCCAGGGTTCTGTTGTTAACACTCTTCTTTTCTCTCTGTACACTCTCTCTTTGGGTGGCTTCATCTACAGCCACCATCTAAACACTAATGACTCCCATATCTGTGCATCCAGACTTAAATTTCCTGTCTCTTAGACTTATCCATCTTGATGTCTCCTAGGTATTTCACATTCAACATGCCCCAAAATGAACTCGTCTTTGTCCCAAAACTTGTTCTTCCTCCATTCCTTATCTGAATGCATAGTAATACCATCCTCCCAGTTACCAATCCCAGCTCATTTCTCTCCCTCATCCCTCACATCCAGTTAGTCAGCAGGTCCTACTGATCCTGCCTCTACTGTCTCTCACATCTCTCCCCGCTTCTCCACTCTCAGGTCTCCGTTTACCCACTCATCTTTTCTTACCTGTACTACTGCAACAGCTACCTAACCTCCCCATGCCTCCAGACTTTGCTCCTCCCACCCATTTCCCACACGGCAGTCAGAGATCTGACCAGGGCACTCTCCGTGGAAAGCCCTTCAGTGGCTCCCCTTTGCCCTCGAACAAAGGCCTAAGCTGAGGGGCTCAATAAAGGGCATTGAGGTGCTTCACAGTCGAGCTACCACCCCCTCCCTCATCTCTTACCAGTCCTCTCTCCCCTCCCCTCACACACGCTCACACACACTCTAACTCCATCCACACTGAACATCTCACAGTGTTGCACACCATTGTGGTGCCCAGTATGTTACACTAGGTGCTTAATAAGTGTTTATTGAAACAATGGGAAAAATACAAATATTGTATCCATTTTTGAAAAGTATTGTCAGGGCTGGGCCCAGTGGCTAAAGTCTGTAATCCTAGCACTCTGGGAGGCCGAGGCGGGAGGATTGCTTGAGCTCAGGGGTTTGAGACCAGCCTGAGCAACAGTGAGATCCCATCTCCACTAAAAATAGAAAAATTAGCCGGGCATCGTGGCATGTGCCTGTAGTCCCAGCTACTTGGAAGGCTGAGGCAAGAGGATCCCTTGAGCCCAGGAGTTGGAGGTTGCTGTGAGCTATGATGACACCACTGCACTCTACCCAGGGTGACAGAGTAAGACTCTGTCTCAAAAAAAAAAGGAAATTGAACCTGCCTGCTCACTCCCCGCTACCTTTCATATTAAAAAAAAAAAAAAAAAAAAAAAGTGTTGTCAGGTGCAGTGGCTCACTCCTGTAATCCCAGCACTTTGGGAGGTCAAGGCAGGAAGATCACTTGAGCCCAGGAGTTTAAGACAAGCCTGGACAACATAGCAAGACCCCATCCCTACAAAAAGTAAAAGAGAAAAATTAGGCATGGTGGCATGCATGTGTCATCCCAGCTACTTGGGAGGCTGAGGCAGGAGGATTGCTTGAGCCCAGGGGCTGAGGTTACAGTGAGCTATGATTGCACCACTGCACTCCAGCCTGGGCAACAGAGTGAGACCCTGTCTCAAAAAAAAAAAAAATTATAGAAAAAAAAAGAATGGTTTAAGTTCATTATGAAATCCACAAATGAATATTCATGAAATATCTACTCTTGTTCTTTGCTGGTCTTTTAGGGAAAAAATTAACCTTTTACTTGAAAGAATCTTTGATAATTTAGAGACTGTATGGAATGTTAACAAAATAAGATATCACTGCTCATTTGAAATTAAAACTTCAATAGCACCATGAAAAACTCATTTGGGTTTAGGAACCTTGTGATGGCATCATTTAAACCCTTCTGGAGTTATTTAAACCCATTAGAAGCAGAGCTAGAATTAAGCTTCTTAACTAAAATACTCCGAGCACAGCCTAACACAGACGCCAAGCACAGGAAATGGATAAAGATGGAACTGCTCCGGTGGGTGGAGGTGGGGATTCATAACCCTGCCCACTCAGTGGCCCCTTATTCCCTGCAGCAGCTTCCTCAGGCGCTTCCGAGAAATCCCAAGGTTAGCTCGGAGGATAAGCTGAAAATAATTTAGTAAAAGGGACTCAGGGCTGGGGTCAGGATATCTGGGTTCTGGGGAGGATTCCGCCCCAGAGTTAAGGCAACTCAGAGCAAGTCCTCTCCCCTTCCTGGGCCTCAGTCTCCTTGGTTGTGAACAGGAGGCTGGGATTAGATGATCTTGGAATTGCTTTCCATTTGAAATACTATTTCCATCCCTCCTGATCCTTGGCCTTTCTTACTGGCTTGTATGGCCACTGACTCAGCTCTTCCTTGTTTTCAGGACAACCTCAACTTGCTGCTTACTGAGGAGGAAATGTACAGCCTCATGGAGACCTTTCAGCAGTGTAAAGTCATCCCTGGTAAGGTGGATGGAGGGGGTGAGGCAGACGTCTCCTTTACAGTCTCTAGGATGAACCATGCAAGGAGTATTCCAGGTTTGGGGGCCGGGGGCAGATGGGTCCTTGTTCCTGAGTTGTTGGCCGGCACACACCACCTGCCACAGCCTGAGTTGCCCTGGCCATGGGAGGCAAAGACTCAACACGAGCTGTGGGTGTGAGGGCACTGAGGGTGCCCTGGGGTGAGTGGAGGTGCCCCAAGGCTGAGGAAGGGCGGGCGTGGCCAACATGGGGTGCCTCCTACAGATTGCTCCCTGACGCTGGAGGACTTCCTGCGCTATCGCCACCAAGCAGCAAAGCGAGGGGACAGCGACAGGGCCCTGAGCAAGGAGCAAGAGGAACAGGCAGCCCACCAGTTTGCAGCCCTGGACCCTGAACATCGAGGCCACATAGAGTGGCCTGATTTCCTGTCCCATGAGTCCCTCCTACTTTTGCAGCAACTGCGTCCCCAGGTGAGGGCCAGCGGGGGTTAATGTCCATGGGATCCTGGGGGACAGGCCTGGGAAGCATGCTGGGTGGGTTGGGGGAACAGTGGGTACTATCTGAGCAGGGAGCAGTGTTGGGAATGGGCTCAGATTCCAGCCCGTGATGGGCGACCCAGTGCCCAGGCTGGGAAACTGCCTAAGGAAGATTGGTTTGCACTGGACCCCACTGAACGTGTCGGTGCTGCCAGAAAGGTTCTGGGCAACTTCTGCGGGAGGCTGCAAAGCGGGTGATGGAGGTAGGGCTGTCTGTAGGTTGACGGTTTACAAGATCATGTCACCTCTAAGATCTTGTCTCTTCCTCCCCAGAACTCTCTGTTGAGGCTTCTGACAGTTAAGGAGCGGGAACGAGCCCGAGCCACCTTCCTGGCACTGGGCAGCGGGAGCACCATCAGTGAGGCAGAGTGTGGCCGCGCCCAGCACTCTTGGTTTTGCAAACGCCCTACAGAAGCTCCATCCTGCAGTGTCAGGTCTGCTCCTTACAAGTCCCCGCCCCTACCTGGCCTCCCCCCTTCCTTTTTTCTTGCCAGTGGCCCTTCGTGTGAAAGGTACCTCCCTGCTTCCCCTGCCAACAGCTGGAAGAGGATCCTCCTGTGCATTAAGCAGAGGATGGTGATGCCTACCACCCGGGCACAGGGCAGCCTCTACTCTGTCAGAAGATCCATGGGCTCAGCAGTTTGGGAGGGGACAGGGCCAGGCCTTTCATTATCCCACTCCTAACCACACGTCCTTGTGCCCAGCAGCATCAGCCATGTGGGTCCCATAGCTGACAGAAGCCTGGCCAGCAGCAGTAGCAAGAGTCAGGACAAGACCGTGCTGCCCACAGAGCAGGAGTCCAGGTGAGTAGAGGTCCCCACTGCTGTCTGTACCCCCTGCACCCCCAACACACACACAAGTAAGAGAGGGCATTACCCACTTCCCAGAAACCACCTCCGGGGGTGCACATTTGCCCCCGGATCCCTAGGGCCAGCTAGCTGGGTACTTGGCGCGGCGGCACAGCCAGCCATAACCGCGTCAGGCACCAGGTCTTCCCTGAGTTATGGCTAGCCCAAGCCACGCTGCCGCTGGACTCAGGTCTCAGGAGCCGTCGGGCTCTGCAACCAGCTTCACGAACCTGTTCTTTGCTTCCACTCCAGATTCGTGGACTGGCCCACCTTCCTGCGAGAGAACGCCCTCTACATCTTGGCTGCTCGCCCCAACAGCGCAGCCATTCACCTGAAGCCCCCAGGATAGCATGGAGCGGAGAAGCTTGGTTCGGGGACAGTGACATCCTCTCCTTCCTTTCCTCTCTCCCTTCCCCCACCAACCTCTGGCACTGAGACTCATGGGGATGGGGCCCTGCCACCATCTTAACTTGTCACTGAGCTGTAGAGCACTGAAATCACCGTTGCCCTCACGACAGAGGCAGTGAGCGCGTTGCCACGGCGAAGAAGCCCAGGGAGCTGTGGGTGCATCCGCTCCCGGACCACCGCCTGCCCTCACAGCATAGACTGGACCTGCCACCACACACATATGTGCGTGCACACGCACACACGCACACACATGCCTCGCTGTCCATGCCTTCAGAAGCCTGGTTCTTTTGGGTTGAAAAAGGACCAAAGTCCCTTTGTGAAGGCCCTGCTATAGAGGAGGGCGTCTCTACTCACCCCTTCTGTTGGCCAGCTGTCATTTCCAATAGATAAGTCTCTGGCCAAGTGAGTCTCACTAAGGGGGCGTATCAGACTCACGTGCCCTCTGGAGATGCTGACAGACCCCTCTTCCCCCGCTGAAAGTCCTTTCTGTGCTGAGCCACCGTTACTAGTAGGTGTGTACTGTGTGCCTCGGCTGTATTTGGGTGTGAAAATAGTTGAAAACCACCGCTGCAGTTCAGCCTATTATTTATTTAAATTCTAATTCCTGGTGGCAGAGAAGGCAACTAGCTTGTGGAATCCTGATTGGAAGAGGGGGAGGCAGCCCCTCCCAGAGACCTAGAATTCCAGGAACCTCTCAGCCAGGTCATCCGAGTCTGAAAGTCTTTAGCAGAACAGTTAAAAACCAAGGTGAGCCTTCTCGGCCCTTTTTTCAGATGGTAGCTCATGGCCTAGAGCCCACGGGGCCTGAATGGGACTAATACGGTGGCAGGAGTTCAGCCCTCTGTTAGCTGCTTCACCCGGGCTGGCTGCCACAGAGACCCGCGAGACGTGGTCCGGCTGGAAGAGGAGAGGCAGGGCCCAGGCTCTCCCGTCGTTCCAGCTCTGCTCAGCCACAGGCCTAGGCAGGTGTGCCATTGTGTGGAGAACGCAGCCAGCCTCTTCCACAGCCCAAGAAAGAGCAGCTCTGCGGCCGCCTGAGCAGAGACTCCTTCCACCCATCCTGATGACGAGGATAAGAAGACTTGCTCCCAGCTCTCTCAAGCAGAGGAGGTCCTGGGAAAGCCTCAGTTTCCCTTCTCCCTGTCACTGGGGTGTGCCTCGAATTGCTGCTTCTCTCGCTGCTCACTGCATGTCCTTCTCCACCAGGCTGGGGCCTCCTGGCGTGGGAGGACTTTGGAGGCAAGCAGAGGCTGCCACAGGGCACCAAGCCTGGTCTCCAAGCCCCAGCCCCCCCCACCCAAGTTCTCGTCAAGTTCTCAAGTCAGTGTGTGTTGTGGGTCACATTGGTGTCCACGTTCTAAGTTCTGTTTCCAACCTAATGACTTAAGTGTGGCCAGATCTGTAACCGAGAGTTATTCAAGAGAGAGTTGAGCTCGGTCATGCGGAAGCTAACGCATCTTCCTTGCTCGAGGCACTCGTGCTAAATTGGGTGCTTACGGAAGGCTCGTACCTCTCAGTGGTGAGATGCTCAGACGAAAGCAAGGAGCTGCAGAGGGGCTGGGTAAGAGCCCTGAGTAGTCTCCTCCCGTAGGAAGTGCCTGACCTGGAAGCAGGATGACACGCCGCCGGGGCTGGATGACTTAGGACTGAAATGCAGCAGACAGGAGACAAGTCTGGGTTCATATGTGTGACCCTGGACATTTCAAAACCCACGGCTTTTGTAAATACTCCTCAGCCGTACTCCCAGGACTGATGAGGGGCCGTTATTCAGTCTAGTCAAAAAAACAGAGAAGAAAAGAAAGCACATGACTCTTGGGCCAAGGACTGCATCCGAAGCAGCCAGGCCTGGGGTTTTGCACTGAGAAGATTAAAGCACATTAAGCCCAGGGGCTCTCGCTTCCTCTCCTGGCAAATCACCCTCTGTGCCAGCGGCCTTGGGCTGCTTGATCTCACAGACAGGGCGTTTTAAGTAGAGACAAGCGGTGGGCTTTGAGAGCTGAACAGCTTTTTTCTTCTGCCTCCTCATCAGTCACAGGGACTGGAAGTCCATCTTGTGCCCTGATCCTTCCCAGATCAAGGTGACGCCTACCTCTTTGGAGCTGCTGCCTCTCGCTCTCTGTGGGTGAGTGGTGAGAGTCCGTGGGCCAGACCAGGCCTGCTCTATCCCAGGGCCTGGCAAAGCAGGCCCCCGAGTTCCGCCACCACAGGGGCAGGCCCATTTGCGATCACCCTTCTCCCTGTTCCAGGACAGCAAGCTTCCTTGGTGAGGGCCCCCAGCAAAGAAAAGAGTTCCCAGTCCACAAGAGTCTCAGAAAAGCACAGAGGAGCAGCCGGGCTCTTCTCCACAGGCATCCAGTGTTTTACCAAAGGGGACGCTCCATTGCTCCCCAGTCCAGGGTTGCAGAAGGCCCACCCCAAGCCCCCATCCAGAATCTCCCATTACAGTGCCCTAGTCCCTAGAGCCCCTCTGCAGTACGCGTGGAGATGCGAAAACGTTCATGAACCTAGTGAGGCCCCTTCCCTTTCCTTTTCCAGCTCTTCCATCACTGTGATGCTGCAATTCTGCCAAGTACCATTGTGAGTGTCTGGCTCTAATAAGGGTATGAGAAAATGTTTCCGTCTTTTCTTGGCTGCCCAACATTGACATCAGTGTTTTTCCAAGCACCCCCCAATCAAGGAAGGCTTGGGTTACAGATCTGCTCCTCTGAAAACCACTTGGTAGTTTTTCACCCAGTGTTTCTCTTCCCCGTGTTCAAATTTAAATAAATGGCAGCCGGATAAAACGGTGGAGCTGCAGGGACAGAGGGCCAGCTGAGGGAGTGGCTGTGGCCACGTAACCTCTCCAGATGTGCTCCTTGGCTCCCTCTCCTGAGGCCAGCCGTCCCCAACAGAACACTTGAGCAATGGCCCCTGTGGTGTGCAGGGAGGGCACCGTTCCCTCACTCCTAGGGACTAATCCCATTCTCAAGTGCTCTTCCTTGAGGACAGCCACAGCAGAAAGCATGCGTACGTTGCCTTTTTCTGTCCTCAGCTCAAGCAGCTGGGCCTGGCAGGGCAGACATTGGCCTTTCTGGCTCTGGTGCTCCCGATGGGCTGTCACCCTGGCCTTGTTTAAGCGGCCAGGTCTTAGGGTTCCCTGTTCCTATCATCAATATGGAAAGCACAGAATTAAACTGCCAGGGTTGTGCCCAGGCCTCTTAGCCCGAGGCACAACCTCAACCATTGCAGGTGCCACAGCTTCAGTGAGAGTGGTGCCAGGGAGCCCTAAAGCCAAGAGGGAAACTTAGCAGAAGCTGTCAGGGCCCCAGGCCAGCCATGACTACCCAGAGCGGAGAGTAACCTCCAGGCAGGACTGAGAACTGGTAGCAGGCTCTGGTGATCCTGTAAGCATGTTCCCTTCAGACTCGCAGAGTGAAGGCAGATATATGCATGGCACGAAAAGGCAGAGTAACCTTGATACCCATGTTTCGGGACATCCTGGCAGAACCTGTAACCATAGTCCCTTTTTACCCCGCCCCTATTTATAGTGCAATGAAATTGCTGCTTCCTCCAAGCCCCTTAGTGTGAATTTGCCCAGATGTCTCTCTGGGCCCCTGGCTGCAGCCCACACAGTGGGCTCTCCTGGAGTGGGGGATATTAATGCATCATGCCTGTTCCTGACAGCTCAGCCCTGGAGTGGGGTGGGACTGGGCACTTTTCCTGCTGCTACTGTTTTTGGCAACCTTGAAAGGAACATGAACAGGTTGGGTTCCACTAGACCCAACCAGCACTGAAGCAAAGCTTCTCTCTGGGCCACATGCCCCAGTGAGCATGGAGGCGGGTCAGGTCTGGTCTGGGCCAGTGACTAAGAAGCCCAGTCGCATGCCAGGTCGTATAGCCCTGGGCAGGCGCAACCACAGAGGAGAACATCCAGGTGTAAGTAGCAAGGCCTTCCCACAGTCATGGTGAGACGAAGGCCTTCCAGCTTACCTCCAGCCATTTAGGGTTGGCCTGTGCTCTGGCTCCAGCAAACACGGCTTGTGACGAGGGCTCTGAGAGCACCTGAGTAACAGCACAGGATCCACACCCCCCGTCCCTCGTGCCCTTCCCATGTGCTTTTCTGCGGAAGGTAACTTGACAGGAAGCCGAGGGGGACGACCCCAGGCCCTGTCTTTCCACAGCTGCATGCTCCTCCCCGTGGCCAGCCTTCACAGCCGCTCCAGGAGGACCTGCTCCCGGAGGCTGGGCACAGTGGCAATCATAATAAAGAGATTGTGATGCTATTTCGACTTCCTGTTTCCTGTTGTTTGGGGAACCTACTGTTTCTGTGTGTTTCCCACCGTTGACTAATTCCTGGCTCTGAGAATAAGACAGGGGCAACTGTGGCCTCCAGGGAGATGGCAGTGCACTGTGGCTGTCTTTCTAGAGCTTTCCTGGCCCTGAGCTTCCCAAGAATCGAGTGATGGGTGGGGGTAGGGGCACCACACGTGCAGACACAGATGTACAGACACCTCTGGATTCCACCACAGATACAGAGGGAAATGGGTGCTGAAGGGAGGAGGCAGGGCATTCGAGGAAACTGAGACAGCTCTCTGGGCCTGTCTGCTATATTGTTTCTCCCTCCTCACCAAGAGCCAGTTTTAGGCATTTTTCCCAGTTCTTGCTGAGCTACAAAGGAGGGAAGCTCATTGGTTGTTTTCTCCTGGTCTTCTGGGCTCTCCCTGGTCTGAGGGTTTCCTCCCCATTTTTACAAATTGTTTTAATGTGACATGATAGGGTTAGGATGACTAAGGTCTGAAGAAGCATTTGGAAGACTGTGGGATCTCCATTCCTCCCTTTTACCTGGTGGGAGCAGAGCCAGTGCCTGTAGATGGCAAGGCGTCTCTAGGCTGTGGGTCAGAGGCAGACATTCTACTTCCAAAACCATAGCGGGTCCCAAGTACAAGTAATTACTAACATTTTTGAACACTTACTATGCAGTGGGCAGTGCTTCACGTAAAGTAGTTAATCTTCAACGCTATGAGATCTGCGTTATGGATGAGGAGAGA